CGTTTCCCGCCGGGGTTCCCGACGGGGACCCCGTTCCCCGACGAACACTAGTCTGTAGAGCATTGTGCTTGTTTATGATGAGGAGTGCGTTCATACGTCTGATGTGAAGCTGTTCAGAAGTATACGATCTATTTCACGCGTGATGCTGGAATGGCGGACGAGGACTTTAAAAATTGGCAATCTGTTGATGTCACCACATCAGAAGAACATTACCGATACAAAATGGAGCAACACAAGGTCGGTCTACGTCCGAAAACGTTGTATCGAATGCGAATTACTGCCAAAAATCAAATTGCTGAAAGTGAACCCACCGAAGTACTTGAATTTGAAACAACTCAAGGAGGTTAGTTCTGATTGCGGCATTCTTATTTCAGATTGCATTGGAATCTTTAACACCTTCTTCAAGCTAAAATCTAGCGGATACTAGATTCTGTCACTTTCAGAATTTCCGGTGCCGACAGATGTACAAGTCGAGGTTCTGAAAGACAATACGGTGATTGTTACCTTTACAGCTGTTAAAGATCCCGAAGATCATTCCATCTATATTCAGGTTTTGTTCGTCGTTACTTATAATCCCGACATCTATTAGCTGCAGTGATGCAGTGAGCAAATTGCATTTTCTTCGTTTCTTTTCACGTTAACTTTCCAATATTTTGAATCTTATTGTTAATGTGGAAACGATCGGCACTAAAATGCAACATCTCGTGCAGTATTCTCTGTATCGCTTTGGTCTCATTATCAATAAGGTTTCATCAAAACAGTTGAAATGAAGTTATAATCTCTTTCTTCAGGATTATGACGTTTTTCTATCTGCATCCACCGATGCTCTGGTTGCGCAGTTCTTCCACGTGACTATCGCCGAAAAGACATTCGATCCGGTATGTTCATCCACACAAACGCAATTACAAATAAACAAATGATCTTTGAATTTCACACAGCAATGGAACTCATATCTTCTTCATTCATGCAACATAATATATCACTTTGCAATCGTTTGAAGTATATTTAGAATCATTTTCGGAGCAAAAACGCATTTGTTTCACGTGCAAATCATTCGATTCCTCGAGTTTCCAATCTTCTTATTTTCTCATCCGAAAGATTCTTGGAAATAAGGTATATCATGTTGCAGAATAACGCACAGATAACGATGAAAATAGCACCAAAGGAACTCAATACGATGACTCAGTACTGGGCTAAAGTGCAAGCACGTATTCCGAACCGGCAGATTCAAGCCAGTAAACCGAAACGATTCCAAACTGGTGATGGAAGTAATTGAATTCTTCGAGTATCTCTCACTGTATCTTATCAATTCACATCATAACACAGTGATTCTCACGCTGTCGCCCTCCGTGCCCTCTTTTAATAGCATAGCAGAATTCTTCTAACAACCAATGTAACTGCAATTCTTACCACATTATGTCACTTTCTTAAATCTTCTCAACGAAACAGACGAAAATCGGAAAGTGATTCAATTAATAACAAGTTTGTTGTTAGAATTTCGTCGACGATATCAAATGAATAATCACTCCCTCGTTACCAAGCAGGTATTTTGAGAGCATCGTTGATCGTTTATGGAAAAAGTATGGTGAAGATAATCAGTATTGACTTATCAATCTCCTCAATTTCCCCAGACCCCCTCAAAGGCACCCCATATAGCAATTTCATTAGCACCCACGGAGTAATATCTCTTTTGAAGGCCACTTTTATAGCAATACTACTATGTATGTTTTGAATTGTCGATGGAAGTATCACTTTCAAAGTCAATTAGTAAAAAACATTCTGCTCAACTGAATCTTTCAGTGACACTCTCGATACTTCAAAGTCACCGAGGGTAATTTCCCGAATGCCTCAAACAAAATCATTTGCAAGAGCTGAATTTTCAAAAATAAAAAAACAGAACGCAGGCAGTTCCATGGAACAGAACAGTCTTCAAATTGCATTTTCGAACTTTTTCCTCATCTAATACTTTTGCTTATTTCTAATTTTATGTTATGGGTCTTTGTCGTGCAAGTATATTCGCTTCACATTTCAAATCTCTATTCATTCGTTGATTCTTTCATTCATGAATCTCATTTGCGTTCACTCGCTTCTTCAACTGTTACTTATTTGCAATGATAGCAGGCTGTGGTGATTCAATTCGACTAGCACACAAATGCTCCTTCGATCATATCTCTCATAGCAAAGCGTTTCAAATCCACTAAGAATCCTTCTCCGACATTTCTGTCAAAGAAATTGAAGTCAACAAAAGTATTATAGCAAATGGTGCTGAGATCATGATCTGATTAACCATAATCTTCGAGCTATTCCTCATACCTCTGCAGCGTTACTAACAGCTGAAATTTGGAAGTTTTGCACGACTGAAACTTCTTCTGTTTAAAAATCAAATTCAATTGTCTGGAGTGGCAATTGCCAAAAGTTTATCCCTGAATGCTTTGATGAACGAATGGTAGTGAAAGTAAATCGATGGAAATTGTTGTTGTTGAATTGCTGAATGACCAGAAAGAAGATGACATCGTTTTGGATGAACTATCAGTTTCACGTTTTCCGGAATGTCTTTTGAATTGATGTTTTTGGGGGTGAGAAATGAATTGAACGATCGCAGGTTATCAGCTATATCCAGCTACTGCCTGCTGTCATAAACTTGATTTTATAAATTTGGTTCATTGCAAACTTGAAATGATATCAAATAAAAGCTTTATTTCGAATGATTTCTTCCATTTGTAAATCCAGCAATTCACCTCAAATTCCCATTCTGTTGTGATGTGATAGTCTTGCGGTATATTCAACATAGCAGCAACAATTTTTATCCATCCGAATTTGGGTTACATTTTCATCAATACGAAACATCAATTTCCGAGGGACCTATTGAAGGGGGAAGTGAAATAACTGGCATCGTTTGCGTGGGGTTGAATGGAATATATCAATCTTACTTACGCTCAGAATCGCCATGATATTTGGAAATTTAAAGCGGATGGCGTTAATTTTGATTAGTCATATAACTCCATGAAAAGCAGCCACATTAGCCAAGTATCCAATGAGTAGAGGCCTCTGAATCGTTTTTAATCAGCTTCGCAGCCTATATACACGCTAATCATAAAGCAATTCTCATTAGTCAACTCATAATCTTACTATTGAATGCCTAAATAAAACAAAGATTCTCTCCAAATCCTGCCATGGGCTGTTAAGAAATATATCAAATATCATATAATTAAATGCATAGAACGGTTGAAATTCTTCGAAAACCTCACAACAGAAGCACTGCCAATAAGTATCGTTTTTGAAAGATCAAATTCGAAATATTCCTTGCAGAATTTCCACCAATTGTTCGAATTCGTCAAGGAGATCGTATAAAGCGAGAACCGAGTCGAACCATGCGACTGCATTTAGAGTGTGATGCCGATGGACATCCTCGACCGATAATTTCGTGGTTATGGAATGGTCAACGAATCGAAGAGAACAATCACTACTGGAAGATAACCGATATCACCACAGATCCAGTTCGTAACATGCACAAAGTCAGGTATCACAGGTGTCCGTCCTATTGAGTTCTGTCGTCACTCTATTAATGATTCAAATTGATACTGACTGACACCTTATTGATGGCTGAACTGAATGGAGTATTCGATGTAGATTATTGTTATAGCTCTCGATTAGCTGCATCGAACGTTTCACGTTCGGGTATGATCTCATGCGAAGCGATCAATAACAAGGGTTATGCAGTCATCAATACAAGTATCGTTGTGACTGGGCCTGGAAGTGCTGTTCGAAATGTTCGTGTAGGTATCAATCGAGATTTAACCGACCAATCAAATTAGAATTCTTTTTGAAGGAATCGAACATGAGAATTGAATTTAAATGTTCTTATTAGTGCGTAGACATGTTCTGAGAACTGAATTTAGCTAAGAGATGAGGGAGGATAAGAATATCATATTTCTGAGACAATAGAATATTTTATTATCTTTTAATTCATATTTATGATAAGTGATGAGTTAAAATAGATTTGAATTATCTCAACGGATTTGTGAGCGATTGATTCTCTTGCAGATTATTCCGAACCAAAATATGCTCAATATTTGTTGGCAAGAACCTGAGATTACGAATGGCAAAATCCACGTGTGTTGTTTTTTTAATTTTAATTTTGAAGTGTCCATCAAGGAGTTCACCACTCAAGAGTTGTGCTTTCAACAGTGACTAAATCAAACAAAAAGTTCATCAGTGATAATTCAACAAAAGCATATTCTTAAGCTGGTGTGCGTCAATCGTTCTTGACATTCAAAATTTTGATGCATTACAAGTGATCACGTACCCGTTGCTACTTTCCTTCATTACTCCTCTTTAGGCTTGCTTTTTTTGCAGTCAAAATCCTGGGATTGCATGTTGTTATATTTCAGCATTATCTGATTTATATGACTACATCACCGAGCGATGATCTCAATGAATGGCAAAAGATTGAAGTGATCGCTGAGAAGAAGTGCATTATAATTGATAAAGTAGAACCAAACACCAACTATACATTCAAATTCCAATCGGCATCTGAATTCGGTTATGGTCTCATTTCGGATGCGTTCACTGTCAATTCTGGCAAATTGTGTACGTTTCAAGAATGTATTTTGTTTTAGCGCAAATTAATTTGAGACAAGTGGCATTATTGCATAATGAATTTGGTATTATATATTATTTGAGATATTCCACTGGACGTTCACATCAAACTGATTGATTTCGAATCACATAACAGTACTGAATATACCGTTGAACCAGGCACAACTATTCGATTTCACTGCATAGCCAGGGTTAGCAAGATGTATTACTGCAGTCATTCTTGTCATTTTATGAAGATGCGTTTATTGCAACAGTACATCAACGCATATCTCTACAAAAATTCACCCAGAAATCTCTCTGTGATTCGCTATATTACTTTAAATGAAGTTCGACAAATACAGATATATCAAGTAATTTTAGGGCAATCCTCAACCGTCAATTGTTCATTTCTGGACAACTGAGGGTATTCAGGACGAAGAGTTCGGCACAGATGCGGTATTCTTCGCCAAACTCAACCAACTCGATAAATACACAGTGGATTCAGTGGAGAGTGTAACAAGCACTCATACGACGCGTGATCTTGTGTGTGAGGCACGAAATGAACATGGGCACGTTCAACACAGAATACGATTCAATGTCTACAGTTCGTCCTCGTCACTCATATTGCTAACTCATCAGTATAACCATATTTTTAATATAGCATCGCTACCATTTGATTTCAGTTCAAATTTCAAGCATTTTCATCGCTAAGTTCAAGCAAACTCGATTTCATTCACCAACAGCCACTTATGACAGCAAGATGAAAATTATATATATATATATAC